TTCTTTGTTTAGTTTGTTGAAACCCTTGCATTTTTGCCATATATCCCACCCATTATCTATATATAGCAGAAATGCAAGATTTCAAAAAATTTATTTTTTAATACAAAAACTAAATATTTCGGATTTCTAATATTTTTTTCATAGTAATAGACAATACAAAGTTTTTACTCATATAGTTCGTTTATTTTAAACATAGTAAATAATACTTAATAAATTAAGTTTTTGATATGTGCGGCGTATATACCGGAGTTACCCTAGTCATTTATTTTTGTCTGCTATGAGCAGAAAAAAACACATTAGAAATAACTATTTACTAGTGTTACAAATGATATGTAGGACAGTCTAATTTACTCATATTTCTCTCGACTTTTACTAATTTTCTATAAACATTTTAATTTGTTCTATGAAATGTTGATGATTGCTGATGAAATAGACATCGTTGTTTATCATTTCGTAAGTATATTTAGTAATGGGAATTTCATAAAAATCGCCGTATATGTATATTGAAAAATGTTCCTTGTGAGTATAAATCGATTATTTAAAATTCATAAAACAAATAAGAAAGAATACTTCTGTTTAAAAAAATATTGTTTTATATTTTATATAACATTAATGTGCTTTTGGAGATCTTAATTTGTTACATTTTCACATGCTTCTCCTGTATAGTAAAGGGTACTTATTACCAGGTGTTCGATGATGTGATGAAAACTTACGAAGAATCCGAGGATTATAATCCGTCTGAATGGGAACAGTATGGCGTATTTTATATGGAATATTTTGTATATGAGTGGGGAATCAATTCATGTGACGCAATTATACAAACTAAAGCAGCGAAAGAGCTTCTGGAAATGATTAAGAGTGTCGAGTTTGACGTTATAGTGCAGGATATTACACTAACTCAATGTTTATACGGATTGTGGGAGGTGAAGATAAACAAAATAAGCAGTAGAATATAGCTACTTAATACATTTTTAGATTGTAAATGACTGAATTCGCCGTAGAGCGGACGATTCAGTCGAGTCACTAACAATTATTAGTTCGTATATCATCATTCTTATACATCAAAACGCCTCGTCATTGTTTATCATCAATAATGATCATTAGCATTTTTTTTCTTCATACGGTATTACAACAAAGCTATTTAACACATTTTCTAATTGTAAGACTGAATTCGCTATAGAGCGGGTGACTTATGTCAGTCAAGTCACTAACAATTATTAGTTGCTCGTGTAACACGGTTCTTATAGATTAAATTGTGTTTCCGGAACAAACTAAAAACACTTCGTTATCGTTTATGTCAGTATAATCTGTAAGACCTTGTTTTTTCATACGACAATAACAAATGTTGAAATAAATGATCTTATTATTTAAGACTTCTAATAATACAAAAACGCGCAAATGTTGAATAAAAAGATATTACTTTTTTTGCAGAATAATATATAATTTATTTTATTCCCGATAAAAAATTTTTCATGCATGAATATGTATAAATATGTATAAACATACATAAACACGCATAAATATCCATAAATGTGTAATTATATATGAAATAAATCTATACATGTTCATACATCCTTCTTTCTTTCATAAAATTACTTTTTAGTGTAATAGAAATAATAATAGTAATGTGAAAACATAAAAAATAATTGAAGGAATAATTTTCGCATTGTTTGTTTAAAAAAAAACAAGTTTGGAAAAATGTAAAAGAAATTGCTCACATATAGTTATGCATAATTATATATCAAGAGACACGGTAGTGTCTCGCGCCAAGTGAGCGCGCAGCGCGAGACACGCGTGTCTTTA